GGATTTGAAAATTGAAAGGAATATTCCACATTAAAAAACTAGAAACTTGATTTTGGTGAAAGGTGTTAAGAAACACAGCATTCAAATTTAGTTGTTACTGAATTTTACCTTTTCCTCCAACATTTTATTATAAAAAAATTTCAGACATGTTACCTACTTCTCTTTCCTATACATTTGTAATAATCTTGAGACATAAACTTGTTAGTAAAAATCAGAGCTTGGAGTCTAGACATATATGACCAGCTCTGGACAGAGCTTGAATAACAAGGTGGTTAAGAAATAGATGTATGAAGGATATTAACATTTGGAAGAAAAGGGAAAAATAGATTTTCTTCTCGACTATTCCCTAGGAATTTTAGTCAGATTTCTTAATTGCTTCTTAAAACATGAGTTGGATTAAATCACTCCCCTGAGTGACACCATGCCCTTCAGTCTTAGAATAAAATCTAGCTCTTTCCAGGGAAAGAGTAAGCTGGAGTTGGCCTGGAGTGAGCTGGCCTGTTTGGCCTCATAGGTCTACCACAATCCCCTTGTTTAGTGTTCTCCTTTCTTGCTCTTCTCATCCTCAACACTCTTCCCTCAGATATTTGCACTGTTTTTTTGCTCAGTTCATTCTGGCCTCTTTTCAAATGTGACCTCCTCACTCAGGCCTTTCCTGATCACCTGATCCAAAACAGCCCTACTTAGTCCCTGTCTTCTGATCACTTTGTTTCTTCTTTGCTTATCATTACCTGACATCTTTTAATATATCTATTTCATTGTTAACCGCACGCTCAAATGTAAGCTCTATAAGGCTTAGAAAGATTTTGTATTCATGGCCATATTCCTATTTGACATATTATGAGAAATTAATAAATAGTTACTGAATTAGCTAGATAATTAAATGACATGAACCAGGCATTAACTCTCATAAGGGTTGCAGAACCCTTGGTAAAATACCAGCAGCCCTTTTAGGTAATTAAAGTTGATCAATATTTTATAGGTAAATGATGTCCTGGAGACCAGTGGACTCTTTTGTGTTTACACAGTTCCAAACTTGAATCTGTGCTAGAATTGGGCCAATTTTGACAAAACCTGCATCCCGAGCAAGATATAAAAAACTTCACCCCCCCATAATAATAACAAACAACTATATACTAGAGACATTTTATAGGGGTGGAGTGGGGAATGGGGTTAAAAATGGGGGCAGGGGAGTGTACGGGACTATGATGATGGCCCACGAATGAGTTGGTGATAGGAAGTCCATGGGGATTACAACTGAGATGGAAAAAGGCACAAAATGATGTTAAACTATTATAATAAAATAAAAAATAAAAATTTCTGCCCCCCCCCAAATTTCCTGTATGCTCTTTTCTCATCAACCCTACCATCCAGCAAGTTTTATTCTGATTTCTATCACCATATACTCATTTTGCTGGTTCCTGAACTACATATAAATATATTGAGATAGTATATATGTTTTTATCTGGCTTCTTTTTGTTCAATATAACATCTGTGAGATTCATTTATGTGGTTACTCATGTCTATTTATTCCAAGATCATATTCCATTGTATCAATATCTACCATGTGTTCATCCATTCTCTTATTGATGGACACTTTTGTTGTTTCCAGGTTGGAGCTATTTCAAATAAAGTTGCCATGAGCATTCTTCTATAGCATCTGCCTCTTTTAGAGCCCTATGTACTTTATTTGAAAATCTTCTTTGTACCATCAGTACAGAGTGAAGTATGATAAGGCTAAGGGGGCTGTGATGATGTGGCAGCCTGCCAGTAGCCCAGCGAGCACCTTCCTTAGAGATGCTGCTGACCTACCTTCCACTCTGGAGGGAAAATACCTGGAAAGGGAGTGTGCATGCAAATTCAGTGTTTTTAGAATCATCAGAGATTCCACTCTGTGGAATGACCGCTGCTATTGCCATTGTATTCCCCTCCCCTCTCAGCTCCTCACCCCAGTACAAGTTTACTCTAATCAGCCACTGAGCATTATGCTATCAAGGAGTTTAAATATTTATGAGCAAGAGTCTTGTTCAGAGCCTGATAAAATATTTATGTGTTTCCACAAGGCATTGGTTTCCATCTAGACTTCTCAAGGCATTTTCTGAGACACTTGTCATGATCATGAGCTACAGATAGATGATGTGGTCAGAGAACATCTGTATTAATGAACCCTGCCTTGCAGAGCACCCTGTTTTCTAGCAATGGGAAAGAATAAACACAGGCATCAAAATGATGATACAAATGATGATACATATGATGATAAAAATGTCTTGAAAAGAAAGGGCTGTTAACATAAGCCCTTAAAGGTTATAGTAAAGAAGGGATCATGGGAAAGAAGTTGTTAAAGTGAGGAGAGATTAAGATGTAGTTATTCCACCTGAAGAATGAAGGAATCATCCTTATAAAAGATACAGTTCCTTAGACACTGATGTGTGCAAGGCCTATGGAAGACAAACTATGCTGAGTGCTATAACAAAGTTATCACACCTGCTGTGAACATAAGGAGTGAAAAATGGGAGATGGGAGTGGTGATAGTAGGGTTTCCAGGTGGAGGGGAGAGAGCCAGCTAATTAAGGAAGAACTGTAATTTCCCTCCATGGAAGAAGTAGCTTTGAGTTAAGTTCTGAAGGTGGTCCAGATCTGTGAGTGACAGCTGTAGTGTGGAAGGACATTTCCAGAAAGACAGAATAACTTCAGCAGATATTCTAGACAGGGCCAGACTGATGTGACGAAGGCAAAGAGGGTGAAAGGGTCAGCTCAGGGCAAGTTTGCAGTAAGAGATAGAGCCAGATAGCTCAAGGCCAGCTTGTCAAGAACACATGAGTATGGACTTTAGTCTGTTTGTTGTAGGGAACCATGTAACTTTTGACCAGACATTGGGTCAGATTTTGAGAAATTCTTGGAAGGTGCATCCAACTTAAGCAAGCCCTTGAGGTCTGTTTATGTCCAAGGCATTTTCAGACTGTTCTGCTGCATCCAGTTAGACTAGAGACTTCTATCTACTCTAAAAGAGATAAATATGAGGGAGTCAGATATACTCTATATATTCCTGGAACTACATAGGAGCAGGTCTCATCCACCTTCTCATCACCCCATAACACATATACTCAAGAGTGCTCCAGTTCAGACTGAATGGTACATCCTCCAGTCTCCTTTGTGACCATTTCATCTCCCTGAGGGGAGTTGACTGCTAAGTACCCTTTATCACTTGAACCCCAATCTAGGTCAATATACTTAAGGTATGGATTGTCAGGCAACAAAGGATGAAACCATCAGACCAACAGGCCATCCCTGCAGATTTCAGGGCTGCTTTGACCAAATGGCTGAGCTTTGACCAATGGCTAGAGAGCACACTGGCACTAGAAAGTTGAGGTCAGATGGGTTGATAACCCAGAGAAAGGACTACTGAGAGCTTTCAATTTGTGTTCTCCCATCAGATTGCAGGTTCCTATTCAAAAGTGCCCCATGATGTTTATTTTTGAAGCCATAATGAAAATAGACAGGGAAGGATTTAAACCTATCAGCCATCTACACTTGGTGATATCTGTTACAAAGAAGAGATAGCTGTGGAAGTGACAGATCTGGAGGAGTCAGTCTTCAGTGCTATAGAAAGGAGTTTTGTGTATGAATTAGATTAGCTGGAAAGCTCTGGTGGAGAGACATGATTCCTTGGTGTGAACAGAAGGGCAGGGGATGGCATCTTAGAGAAACTTCATGATTCTGCCCAGGTCTTGCTAGTTAGAATAGCTTTCTTGCTGCCATGGTTACCTGTTCAGAGTGATACTGTGAACACCCAGAGAAGAATGATATGGACCTACCCTATGCTGGAACAGCAGATTGTCAGGTGGTACTGCCAGCCCCCATCCAAATTTTCCAAGGAATTGGGGATAAAAGAGAGCTGGAAATGTCTTAACGAGGGAAATGGTAAGGGCCTGACAGTGTTGACTGAACTGGACACCTAGTAAGCATCTTGTGGTGTTGGCCTGGCAAGACTCCAGACCAACAAGGCCTTTCTTGGCTCTGATCTAATATTCCTGATTTTCTGTGCGAAGCAGAGTTTCTCAAGGATCACATTAACTGTGAGAGTGTGTGCTTAACTGAGTAACTTTTCAAAATGAGCATTTCAATGATTCTGTGATTGTGCCCAGGCTGCCTGCTTTTGTGTACGACTAGGATAAACCAGAACATCAGAGTAGAGTGGGACTGGGAACGATAAATAACTGAAGCTAGGAGAGGGAAGAGAGTGGCTGACCTACTGGAGTCACAGATATGTTATCTGCAAGTGAAAAACTGGAGTGAAAGAATATCTAAGGCAAATGGAAGGAGAAAAGAGGGATGAGATGTGAAGGTTACTGCCACAGTCAGTTTGAGGACATTCACACAGGCTTGGCAACCAGAACACAGCCACACCATGGCCGCGCAGGTCCCAGCAGTCCTATGCTGTCCATTCCCTCACCCCACTCCATACTTCATGCACTTTCACCTGTTCATTCATAGTATTAGGTAGTGAGACTTGCCAGTGTACACTAAGTTGCAAGATACACAAACACCTACTTTTAAAAGTAAGTATGAAGACACTATTTCAGAATACTTCTAACAGTTGGGTTACAGATGTTACTTTTCTTTTTAAAACTTAGCCATATTTTCTATGATTTCTATATTGAACATGAATTTCTGTGATCGGCAGGAAAACATTAAATAACAAATCTATTAAAGAGATTAAGTAGGAGAAGGAGAGTAGGATTATACAAAAGAGAAAAAGATTTTGGAAGATGAATGATCAAAAAAGTTCTTCACAGACTGCTAGCTTCTGCATGTTATTTTCTTTATTGTTGAGTATCATATTTGTTGTCCTCCCTTGAAGAAATCAAATTGCAAATTATGAGCCAAGTCACCCAGAATCTTCCAGGAAAGTGCTCACAGAACACTCCTAACCTAGGCAACAGCATCTCCCCCACAAAGCTTGATATTTATTTCCACAGAGCCTGGTCCAGACTTGTGTCTCTCATCTCTGAAGTATAAGACAAGAACCAACGAAGAATGTCAGTAGTTGGAGGAGGATTTTCTCGGACAAAAGCCTGTTTTGTTTCTGTCCACACCTCTGCCCGTGGCCCTTGGGGAAGTCTGTGACAAGGCTTTTGAGAGGTAAATGTGGCTTTTATTTTACACCACTGGCCTTTTACAACCAATGGCCTGTCAAGTCCATGCTTTAATTTTCTTACGCTGGACACAGGCTGGGCTTCTCAGGAGCACAAGTTGCTGTCTGCCTTTAACTACCAGAATCAATTTAAAGCAAAGGCCAGAGAGGCCTTCCTGATGTCTAGTGGTTACTAACGACTTCTTCACTGTTTACTAATATAAGTGGACCATATAAGAGCAGTTGTTCTATTGTTTCATTTATTATATTATATACATTATTCTAGAGATATAGATACATATAACTGATCCAATATATGATTTTAATAGCTACTTAATACTTATAAATTTCTTGATTATTGGTTATATTTCCAACTCGATACTCTATTTTCATCCATTTTTTTTAACACAACAAATTTTGCCACAATAAACATTCTGCATTGATCCTAGCATTTTGCTTTTCATTTCCATGTAAGATTTTCAAAATTGGCAAAGGATACACATAATTTTAATGTTCACTGTGGATCTCCCCACAGCTTGTTTCCCTCCCTCCTTTTGTCTTTCTCTCCCCCACTGCATATTTCTCCAGGGGAGCCTGCATATTTAGGAAGGACGGTCCCTCAGTGAGAACTCATCCTTGCCAAGTGTGGATTATATCCGCTCGGTGGTGAACAGGGTCTGCAGTATTCTGATTGCATTGTGTCACTATTGCTTCTGGTTGGCCAGACTGCTTACAGCCCTTCTTGCTCACTTATGTCATGCTGTGGAATTATACATGGTCTTCCTCTGTAGTGGGAGCAGCATGCCTTGTGTGTGTGTGTGTGTGTGTGTGTGTGTGTGTGTGTGTGTGTGTACACACAGCAGTGTGTGTGGGTGGGAGGACTTTCAGAGATAGTAGGCTCAGCAACATTTTTTCACAGCACCATATCTGCTGTTTTTTTTTTTTTGTTATATCTTTTCTTTAATAGTTGAACTGAGAAATGTTTTTCTATTCTATCCCCATCTTCTCTGTCTGTTTTGATGGGTTTGGGATTTAGAAGATTTTGTGAGTATGTAGTCTGTAGACTACAAGAGATTACTTGACATGAGGAGAATTAGAAAAGAAGGTAGGGGTCTGGAGCTTAAGAGTCAGTGCCAAGTAACAGATGCAAACATTTTCAAACAAATAATTTTAACAAAACTGTTGTTATGAGCGCACTTCCCAGCACTACTTGGCTTGCTTGCTTTCTTTTTCCCCCTAAATTTTTGCTCTTGTTTGAATGTAAATTTTCAGTTTAGTCCACTAGACCAGAGAGGAATGGGAATCCGCTCCACACCAAGTCTGGAAAAAAATCACAGAAAAACATTAAGGGAGGCTGGTGAGTATAAAAATGTAGAACATAAACAGTGAACTGACAAAATAGCAAGAAGTAAATGAGAAATTTAAGTCCTCAGCAGAAGGCTGCTATGTGACCACTGAGCTCGACCCTTGATGGAAATCTATGATCTTGAATTCATATTAGAAACCCAGTTGTGAGTCTGTGTTCAAAATGCAAACATTAGCTAAGCAGAAGAAAGAAATTATAAAGTCCTGTGGCATACATTTTGCTGTTAGTTTCCATAACTGCAAATTCCATGCTGCAATTTTACTCAGTAACTTTGGAGTGGATTTCTGTGTCTGAAATTGGAAATTAAAAAAAGGAAAGAAAACCTGGATAGACATTATTGCAATTAACTTCTAGGGAAAATTTTTTTTTACTTTACTTGGAACATGTTAAAACCTGCCAAGTAAGCATCAGTCTGTGTTAATACATACTTTTATGCAAACTTTTCACTTTCAAATATATATTAACCAGTAATATTGATGATAAAACCAGCCCCCCTCATAGGTTTGTCTTTTATAACTTAGGGATTTTATAATGTATTTTAATCATAGTTAGTAGCAAGAATAGTTCTATCTTTTTTATACTGACATTTGTGACTATAAAGATCATCTGTAAACAGCTTGGTTTTGTCATCAAAATTTTTCAGTTTAAACATATTCCAAGATATTAAGCACCTGCTCTGGCTAACAAGAATTACCTGCTGGTATACCACTGCTCCGATAGATTACATCTAGAAAATCTGTATTTAAAACTCAATTTGAAGGCATAAAAGACATCCAGAATTTGAGCATTAACAGCTCAGGGAGAAGAGAAAGTTTTTGAGTACCCCACATTCTTGGCTGTATATGAGGAGAAGCTAAGAAAACAAACAAAAGTGGCTCCAAACAGGCATAAAATGAGTACAACATCTTATGGGGGTTGGGGGCTGGGTGGGGAGTAGGGTGGTGGTGTGAAGAGAGGATTTCAGGACTACTAAGTGAACTAGTGCATGAAAGGCCATGATCTTGGAAATAAAAGAGTCAGAGAAATCAGGCCAATAATCTGAGCAATTTTCCTTCCAAGTTCAGTTTGAGTAGCACAGATGAAGACACTGAAAAGAAAAAAAGGAAAGCAGATGCTGAGAAGCTTTACAGAACTACTTACAGGCTTACTGTGCTGGGGAGTTACACATTGCAGTGTAGGAATTATCAAGGTGGAAGATCCTGAAAAACACTGTGATGGTTAATTTGTGTCCATTGGAGTGGGCCACAGGTTTCCCAGATATCTGGTTAAGCATTATTTTTGGATATGTCTGAGAGGGTTTCTGGGAGAGATTAGCATTTGAATTCATGAACTAATAAAGCTGTTGGCCCTCCCAAATGTGGGTAGGCATCCTCCAATCTGCTGCAGGCCTGAATAGAACAAAAGGTTTGAGGAAGGCTGAAAACTCTGCCGGATTGAGCTGAGACGTTGATTTTCTTCTGCCCTTGGCACTCCCAGTTCTCAGGCCTTCAGACTGGCACTTATGCCATTAGCTCTGTGGCTGTCAGGCCTTTGAACTACAGCACTGGCTTTCATGGGTCTCCAGCTTGCAAATGACAGAGCATGGGACTTCTCAGCCTCCATAATTGCATGAGCCAATTGTAATAAATCTCTTGTATTTATATATAAAATATTGGTTCTGTTTTCTCTGGAGACTACTGACTAATACAAACACCCTAAACTTGGAATTGGTATTCCTGAAGGACTGTGCCTGAGGAAGTTAGCCCATAAATAAACTTGGTCTTATAAAAAATCCAATCCCCAGTCTGATCACTCACTGTTTTATCCTCACACTGTAACAAAGCTAAGGAACACATTCTTTGGGGAGGAGAAAATGACCCAAGGCTTCTATAGTTTTATTACATGGTTTCTGATCTTCCATGAAAACAAAACAAAACAAAACTATAGTGGGCATAACAAAATATAGTTTCCAGACTACGGTGCAAAAAGAAGAATGCAGATTCCCTGCAGCAAGAAGATAGTTTCAAATTTAGGAACACCAAGGCAGCTGAAGTTTGCAGGACAGAGAACTGAAATGGAGAGAGCTGTGCAGATAGAACTCTATAGATCGTCATCGGATACTCTTCAAGTGTAAAGTTGAGTACTGAACTGCACAGGCCTGTGGAGAAACTACCTAGGGATGGAAAAAGGAAACTGTCAGGGGCTACAGGGTACAATACTGCTGTTGACAGGTGCCAGTCCCCACTCAGACTAGGGAAGCTCATGGAGTGTTGGGTAGCAAGCCTATACCTTAGTAGTGGGGAAAATTAGCTCCACTAAGCAGCCCCAGTTCAGAGCCTGTCTAATATCTTAAAAGAACACCCTAAGTGATCAAACTCTTCCTAATTTAGCTTCATTCCAGAACAAAGCTGAAGAATATTTAAAGGAATAAGAAACTAGCATATCTATAAGTAGAATGACCAAGGAAGAGCATCAAAATTACCTGAAGAGTTAATGAGTGAAGCATTTCTGAATAGAAGTTATTATAGTTGATGAAGACTGTAAGTTCATAGATGCAAAGAACCTTAAGTCAAATAAAAAAATAAAGAAATAAAACTTTACCATAGAATCAAAATCCAGTTGTTCAAAGTCCACTGAGAAATAAAAACTCCAAAATAGCCAGAGGTGGGAAACACATGCACAGAGGAACAAAGATAAGTATAAAATGATTCAACCTAGAATTCTCCATCTAATGAACATATTTTTCAAAACAAAGACAAAATACAGACTTTCCAGATGCATTGAAGCTGAAAGAATTCATTATGAAAGATATACACTACAAGAAACATTAAAGGAAGACCTCCTAGTAGGAGGGAAGTAAGTGATGCCAGCTACCAAGACTATATATAGAAGAAGGAACCAACACAGTCAATCAGCCTGATTTTATTGATCTTTATCTAACGTTGTCTTAATCACCTGAAGAATGTATAGTCCTTTCCAGTGTATGTGGACTTTTTATCAAGATAATCAGATTTGGGTCCTGTAATAGGTCTCAATATATAAAAATGGATACCAAGTCATAGAAAGTATGTTAGTGACCTCAGTGAAATTATTGAAGGAATTAACAACAGATTTCTTAAAATATTTGGTTTTTCTTTATTTGTTTTCATTTTTACATAGGAGAACTGGGGTGTAGGTCAGAGATACTGGAGGAAGGAGGTGAGGTTGAGGGGTGAGAAGATTCACCAGAAACAGAGTGGGAAGCAGAACAGGCAGGTGTACTGAAATACACTGCTGAGGGGGTGAGTAGCCGAGATGAGATGCGTCTGTTGCATTCTATGTGGGTCAGCTCCTTGGTAAGGGCTCTAACTCAGACATGGCAGTGACGGGCCACCAGGGAGCCCCCAGTCTTCAGATATTTGTAAATTTAGCAACATACTTGACAATAGCTCATCAGTCAAAGAGAAAAATAAAAAAAGGAATGGTAAAATATTTTGGATTGAATGAAAATGAAAAATCATGCATCAAAAAGAGTAGTTAGGTGGAAATTTATAGTGCTAAGAGCTTAAAAGAAAAAAGTCTCAAGTCAGTATCCTCAGCTTCCATTCTAAGAAACTAAATCAAAAAAGAACAAGTAAACCCCAAAGTCAGCAGAGGAAAGGTAATAATTAACATCAGAACACAAATCAGTAAAATAATAACAAAAAACAGTATAGAAAATCAGTAAAAGCAAATGTTGATTAATTGAATATATCAACAAAATTGACAAACCTCTCTAGCCAGACTGGTCAGGGTAAGAAGTGAGCAGTCATAGTTTACTAATATCATAGATTAATAATAATAAAGGATAATAGAAGGGAATTATAAATAGTTTTATTTTAATAATCCCATCAATTTAAATGAGATAAGTAAATTCCATGGAAGACATAAGCTATCAGAGTTTCTTCAAGAAATATTAAAGAATATGAAAACCCAGATCTGTTTTTTTTTAAAAAAAAGTCAGGGCCCTCCCTGGTGGAGTAGTGGGTTAAAGCACAGCACTAAGAAGCTAAAGCCACTTCAGCATGAGTTCAGTCCCATCCTGGAGGTTACCCACATGGCGCAACAGACCTCTCATGACCTGCCCACTGCTCCCCACAGCAGTGTACTTTGTCAGTCAGCCTGTTCTGCTCCCCACTCTGTCTCTGATGAATCCTCTCACCGGCCCTGCACCTCTGGCCTGTACCCCAGTTCTATATGCATAAATAAATGAATCTTTTTTAAAAAAAGTCAAAGAAAACTAGAAATATCAATAGATGATAACTTCTTTAAAAACAATAAAGTGAATCTATGGAAAATCTTCACCTGATATATTAATGATAAAAGACCAAATACTTCCCCCCAAGATCAAGAATAAGACAAGGATGTCCACTCTCTTTAATACAACTCAACCCTGGAGGTCCTAGCTAGTGCAAAAATAAGAAAATGAAATGGAAGGTATCCAATTTGTAAAGGAAGAAGTAAAACTATCTTTATTTGCAAGTGACCGGATGTTCTGTGCAGAGATTCCTATATAACCTACAAAAGAAACTAACAAATGAGTTTAGCATTATTGCAAAATACAGTATCAATATACACACACTTCAGTTGTGCCCATAGATATATTCACACAATAATGTTGAACTATCAAAATTGAAAGTAAAATAATTACAATGGCATCAGAAATATGGAATCCTTAGGGATAAATTTGATTTTTAAAATTGTACAAGACTTATATCCTAAAGCTGATCTTTCTGAAGAAATTTTAAAAGACCTATACAAGTGAAAAGATGTATCTTGTTCATGGGTGCTATGGATTGCATGTTTGTATCTTTCCTGAAAATCTTATGTTTTTCCTGAAGTCTAATATTTAGTGTGATGGTACTTAGAGGCACAGAGCCTTTGAGAAGATGAGAACAAGTTGGTAGAGTTCTTATAAATGGAATTAGTGTCTTTAAAAGGTAAATCCAGAGAGCTAGTTTCTTCTCTTTCCCATATGTGAGGGTATAAAAGGTCAGTCATGTACAAACTAGAACAAGGTTCTTACCAGAATGTGTCCAAGCCAGCAGCACCATGACCTTGGATTTCCAGCCATCAGAATTGTTGTTTATAAGTTTTTATAAATAGTTATTATAATTTCTGTTGTGTATGAGATACTCCATCTGTGCTATTCTGTTATAGCTGCTGAGCTAAGACAATGGTTTAAAAGACTCATCTATTTTTTTAATAATATAATAGCTTATTTTTACATCATTTTGTGCACTTTTCCATCTCAGTTGTGATCCCCTTGGGCTTCCCATCACCAAATCACCGATGTGCCATCACCATAGTCCAGTGCATTTCCCTCCCCGCACTGTTTTTGATCCCATTCACCACTCCACCCCATAAATTGTCTCTGGTATATAACTGTTCATTATTATTATTATTATTTTCTTGCCTGGTCCTTTATACTCCTGCTATACGTGAAACCATTCTGTATTTTTCCTTTACTTTCTGGCTTATTTCACTAAGCATGATCTTTTCCATCTCCACCCATGTTGCTGCGAAGGACATGTGTTTCTTTTTTTTGGTTGCTGAGTAATATTCCATTGTGTGTATGTGCCACATCTAAAAGACTCATCTTTTTTTTTTTTTTTTTAAAGATTTATTTGTGCATACAGAACTGGGTTACAGGACAGAGGCTCAGGGGTGATGAGAGGCTTCACCAGAGACAGAGTGGGGAGCAGAACAGGCAGATCGACGAAGTACACTGCTGAGGGGAGCAGTGGGCGGGTCAGGAGAGGTC